GCAGCTGCTATTTTATCCTATATGTTATGAGATCAATTCGTGAACGAGCCCGGCCTCTTTCATCTGCACATTTCATCCTGGATTAAACTGAACAACTGCCACCATCATTTTCGCTCCACTCTAAAGATGCGTGTTTGTTTATTCCTGACTAACCATCACATCATCGAAAGAAGGCTTCAATGATGGGGCTTTCTTCTGTCATTGAGCCGGACTGCCTGAGGCTTGCGTGGCCTATTACCGGTCCTTGAATTTCTGAATGTCATTACTGTGAGCTAGTGGAAGTAAAATTGTGTGTGAAGCTGAATATCCTTTTGGTGTTCAGGCCTAAGCTTCGGGGGCCAAATCACCTGTAGTGTCTGCAGATCAAGGTTTTTGCTTGTGATTGTACATGTGTGCTCCCTGGAAATTTTATCGTACTAGATGCATATGCTAGTTTGTCCACCATTTTCCTGATGCTTCTTATTCATACCACTCTTGGATACACAGTGGAACTCAATCTATTGTTCACGCCTTCTGTAATCGTATTCAGCTCCATCCTTTTTCTGTTGCATGGCTTGCAATTTTGTGATGGATACTAAGTGAGCAGTGACATTGTCTTTCAATGGTAAAGTTACACTCATCGATCAAAAGATGGGATGATGGATATACATAAGGATATTATCCATTTCACAACCATGTCTTTTTCCACATTCCGAGATCAACCCAAAACAACAAAATAAGACATGCGTGTTACAGTAACAACTTCGACTTCAAAACGTTACTTTATACCTTGCACATCAAAACCACTTAGTGTAAAAGAAGAGACTTGAATATTTTTTTTAAAAAAAAGTAAAAAACATACAAAAAAACAGTTAGAAATATATATATACTGTCTGGAGTTAGAATATCTTTTGAGTTGAGGGTAAAAATTATTTACGCATCATCCCATCTTCGTACTAGATTTTTGAAGTTGTAGCTAGCTGTTGATCTCTATGCTTCACAAACTATACTATCTTGTACTATGTTGTAACTGCATAGTTTTATTCTTTTATTTCAACTTGTGGTGTTAAATGTAGGTAAATCGTGAATTTTGCAGCTTAAAAGAAACATATTTTTTTTGCATTTAACGAAAATTAGTACATGAAGTATTCCACAGTTTGGGTGAGTTCCTTTCACTCAAACAGAGCCAAGAGTAGAGATTCAGATCAGCTGCAAGACTAACATTGCTGAAAGTTAGCACACATGTACTGTTCACTACTTAAAAAATAATTTTTCCCGACACTTGGATTTTATTTTTTCAAGTGGACTAAAAATATTCTCGCTTGTGAAAATATCAGAAGTTCTATAGGTCTAGCCCCAACTGAAAAAAATAATCAATTTATACAAGTGGGATCTAAAGAAGTTTGCCTGTGAAAATACCCTTCATTTTCGCAGGTAGACCTCCTTAGCCTCCACGTGCAAAAATCAATGGCAGTCGGGACCTAAAGAGGCCCGCCAGCAAAGCGTGGAGGCACTTTTTTATCCAGCATCGCCAGCCACCGACAAGCAATCCTTCTCCCTCACCTACGCCCTCCCTCACTCAATCTCCCTCACACCTCTACTAGGGCTTCGATCCCCATCCCTCTCCGTCCAGCCTCCAGGCCACTTGGCGATAGCGGGCAAGGCACTACGTTCAGCGGCATTAGCGGAAGCAGGGAAGGGATGACGTTCGGTGGCATCAGCGGCGGCTACAAGCGCGGTTGGCGGCAACGGGCTGGAGGAGATGAGAGGTCGCTAGTGGAAGCTGGCAGGCTCGGGATGCAACAGCGACATCGACGGCGATGATGGCGACCCCACCATTGACGACGACTACGTACGAGCTCGGGGGAGGCGGATCCACTCAGTGGCCAGCTTGGGAGAGGGGTGTATGACTATAGCAAGGTTGGAAGAGGCAGATCCATCGCCGACGGCCTTGGATCCGCCATTGCCGAGCTATGTAGTGTCGGACCCACCGTTGCCGAGCTCGGGAGGGGGTGGATCCACCACCAGCAGCTCGGGAGTTGGGGTGCATCGTCTACAGCGAAGGGGAGTGGCGATGGCTGTGGAGGCCTTGGATTGGCATGAACATACTAGAAATCTGCTGGTCAGACCGCCTGATGGTTGTCAGTTGGACCGACATGAGACTCCCAGCCGACCGACTCCTAATCGACGGTCAGGGTGTCCGGTAAGATTATAAGGTGTCCAGTTAGACCGTTGTTCAAATTTAGATCAATTTAGTACTAGTGCCTAATTGGCTATCTAAAGATACATTATTGCATATGAGATCTAGTTGATATGATGCATATTTGTTTCTCGTTTTTTAACATTTCTACCACGGGATAGCAAAATTTCCAAGATTTCAGATTTTTTGGAATATTTTTTAAAAAATTGAACAAACTTTAGCCTAAGTTGAATAACTTTTACCAAATTCACACAAAAATTGAAAACTTTGGGCAAAATAGTTTCGTTCACGCGGGGGAGGGGTGTTCCCGATATTGCAGGAATTGGAAGTGAAATTGCATGCATAGGTTATAATTATGAACTGAACATATGCAGGTAGCCTCACATTTCTTTCATCACAAAAATTCTTAAAAAAACATTCTGTAGATCTTGAATGTCAAGCGTGGAAACATCGTGTCCTCCACAGTTTACCATGTGCCAGAGCAACAATTCATCCAACTGAAACCATAAGCTTGCAAGGTCAAATTTTCCTGGATGCCTCCTTGTCCGATCAAACTGAGATATACATGCAGAACTTGATATCTATTAATTTCTTATCTCCTCTTACTCCATCATCCATACTTTTTGTTCACTATAGTTTGCTATTATGTTTGTTCAAAAGATACGAAAATAGTGAATTGGTACTGAAAGATGAGGTGGTATATATAAAAGGACGACGAAATATATAATGCCTCTATGCATTTAATACCCATCTATATATGTTCGTAGCAGGAGGTAGTAATTACATTTCTCTCATCAATCTGTTGGTTAATTATTTTGAATTAAAGTGTGAAGTAGATGTATATATAATTATGCTTTCTGCATAAACTTTTTGTGCTATTCCTTAATCACCCTTGAAGAGCTAAAAATAGTGAAGACCACTTTGTATACATGCACCATAGTCAAGTCCAAACTAAGTATATAGTGGCCACAATGTAAGTCGGATTGCGCACAACCGGCACTGAAGTCAGCCAGGCATATAAAGGTTGACACCCTAAAATAGTCAAGATAACTACCATTTGGTACCATAAAAACAAAATGGATGCACGGGAATGCATGTCTTTATTATAGTGATTTTAGTGACTAACGATTACATGTCTTCCCCTGGACAATTATGTTATAAGTATGTTACCTTTGTTGTATCACCTTAAAGCAAAATCCCAAAACATTAGAGGAAAACAAAGGATTAGAACGGATAAGTAGCAGGCATCATGCTCAGCATACCATGAAGAAAAGAAAACCATAGTACCTGGCATTAAGTTCCAATTTTTAAAGTAGAGATCATGTAGATGCACAAATTTAATTTATAGACCACTGCTGAAGAAATGATCTTTATACTGGTTTGTAATCCCCTTTAGTACCAGTTGTAGCAACCGTGACCAACAAATCGAGCCTAAAGAAGATCTTTAGTACCGGTTCTAAAATGCATATTAAGTCAAAAAAAATGTGGGGGATACATATTCAAACTCAAGACCTCTCACCTCAACCCTCACACACCTAACCATCCCACCAACTCCACATATTTGACTTGGATAGAGATTATTTCTTTTTAAACTAACCCTAGAGGCATGTTTAGTCCGGGTTGGTGTTACCAACTGGGACTAAAGATCTGGTTGGTGTAACCAACCTGTACTAAATTAAAGATGCATTTTTACTACCTATTGGTAACACCAACCGGAACTAAAGATGTTTTTGGAACTTGGACTTTTAGAACCAGTACTAATAACATATTAGTACCAGTACCAGTTCTTAATCTAACCGATATATTTGTGTTTTTGTATCATGACAAAAGATCAGTTATCCAGTAGTGGATAAGACATTTTTTTGGGTATGCAAGAGCCTTTGCATGGATGTGAAGAAGTTGTAAGTATTTGAAATTATCAAAACATTCATTCTGATTCCATGTGGATCAATAAGGTGAGAGATGATTGATAATATTTCCTTTATATGGACACAGAAATGCATGCATTGTACTGCTGAGGTTTGGCTACTGGTGATACTACAATGGTAGTCAGTAGAGGCTTGCTCGCAAAAGATGAGCAGGAATATGTTTCATTTCTGCTTATAGAACAACTACTAGAATCTGTGAAAAAACTATTAAGATATGTAGTGCCTCCACTGACCACTTGTATCGGTGTTAATTTTCTATGCCACTAGGCCATTGCCGATAACTGCATCCACTATGTTTTTATTTCACTCTCATACCATGAGAGATTCAGGTGATTATTTGTATCCAAAGACTCCATTATTTGTATCCTATATTCAGGTGATTAATCATTTGTATATACATATAAGAAGATAGAAAACTGCCCATCGATGAAACCGTGATCCTCGTTTTCCATGCTAGTGTCAAATCATTATCTTTTAACACATCCTTGACCCTGCGAAGCAGTGAGCGGTGGCGGCAGCAAGCAAATGTATCAGGGGTGTTGAGCTCTAGCTCATGTCGGCAGCGGGGCTTGGTTCTAGGGGGTGATAGAGGCAGAGCTCGGATGTGAGGGCCAGTGGCCGGAGTGACTAGTAAAGCATGTGGTCACACCTTTGCCGATGCCTCCTACTCCCATCACAAAGCAAGATGATGTATACTTGGAATCTCTATCTTCTCTCTCCCATTTTGTTTGTTGGCTATTGCTTGCTATTTGCTCCTACTTGCAATGAGAAACCATGCGCTGAAAAGGAAGGGCTGTATCCTAAATTTGATGGGGTATATAAAGAGTTGGAAAAACTTTTTTATTGAAGATGGTACAATGTTTTTTTTTTGTTCTGCTGATCGAATGAAATGGAATGCTTTAAAAACATAAAATAAGCTTTATCATTCTTAGCCAATTACATCAAGATAATATAATTACTCTAAGACTACTTTTGGCATTAACATAACTAGAATGCACATACAACCTATTATTATTACATAAAGAGAAATATTATGCCGCAGCAGACTATAACACAAGCTATTTCTTCCTAACACCCCACAGCAGCAACACTTGGGCTGCAAAACAAAAAAGGCTGTCCTAACGATGCCTCCGAGAAAGAAAATGACACTCAAACGTGCTGCCATTGCCATGACCGAACCTGTAAAGGCCAAAACATATGTTTCTCCTTCATTAGAGAGCAAATCTTTGACTCTAGGCAGTGCCTTCAACATGGAAGGGAAACACCATTGGCAGGAACAACCAGCTAAGGGCTGTCCTAGGAAAAGATGATTTGTAGAGGCATGATATATTTTCATATGCTTATAATATCTTTTCATATTATCTTTTCATTATGTGTCCCATGGAGCTCCTTATCTACCGATTTGCAAAATAGGCTATATTTTATAGATATTTGGTTGTTAAACCTCGAGGCATTTTGTGGACCTCAGTTTCCGTTTGAGGTGTAGCCTTATCAGCCTCAACCTGCTTCAGTTACTTTGAGGCAGAGATAATCTTTTGAGGCAGTGTTCTCTGCCACAATAGACAATTTGGGGCAAGAGTATCTGAGACATGGGGAGGCTATCTCGTAATCTCTTTTGAGATAGACTTTGAGGCTGATTTGGTTGCTTTGTTATAAAAACGGCCCAGAAATCACATCGGAAACCAAATCGCGGAAGAAAACGCCATAGGAGATCCAAACATGATGACGACACCGAGGTACGATATTTGATAATGGAGTTCAGCCGAGGCATACATCTTCGGGGCACTGATTACGGGCACTCCTTCCCGATCCAGTATATTAGAGCGTATCAAAGTTATAACGACTCACGGCTGGTCGCCGCCGGCAGCCACTCCCTCTCGCTATGCTAAATCGCCATGCGGTTACAACAGGCATGCTCCTCTATTTATGAGAGATCCTAGGATAGACTCCGACTCATACTCGAGTCCTAATACCTATTACAACTCCAAGTCCTAAATTGTAACCGACTTTGTATACATATTCGACATAAACTCTAACATGTTTCATGTTGTCTATGATCCTGTAGTGCTTTTCTGTTGTGGCATGCTAATTTTCTAGTCCAACATACGGAGTCTCGCTCCGGTGCTTTCTACTTGGAGTAGAAACTAATTTGAGTCGTTGATCATATCTAATTGTAGGATTGAGATCTATTTCTACTCCCACCAGAGTTAGTGGTAATATATATGTGGAGGGGTATATTCGTCCAAGGATCATAATTCGCGTAGGGGTATTATGTAATTTATCAGTATCGACGCCATTCCCATCCATCCCCGCCTCTGTTGCCGTCCATCTCCCTCGTCGCCTCCGTCTTCCATCCTAGCGTCTCCTCCCCCTCCAGCACCGTCCCCTTCTCCGCTCCCTCCGTCGAAGCTCGTCTCCACGCCGCCTTGTGAGCCCCCTCCGTTGCCGTCATCCTCCCCCACCCCCTTCTTCAGCGAGTTGCCTCACATCGTCGCGCCTCCACCTGCCACCGCCGCCACATTCTCCTCGCCATCAGCCTTCTCCGCCACATCACCTCCACCTGCCACCGCCGCCACATCCTTCTCCACTCCACCGCCGCCCCCTTCTCCACTCCCCTCGGTGATCTCGCATCTCCATCCGGGATCTCCAGAGCTCCGCCCTATCCCGCCGCTACCCACGTCGACCCACCTTCTGCCGAGTTCCACCTCAGACCCTAGCACCGCGCCACTCACCGCCGCTGAGCCTTCGTCCTCCTCGCTATCCCCTTCCTCGCCGTCGGCCACCTCCCCCACGCTCGGCTCTAGCCCCGTCCATCTCCGCCCGCCGTTGCTCCCACAGCCACGTGGGAGAGCCCCCAATCCATCACCCCACAAGCGGAGGACGCAGCCTTTGGATCCAATGGCAGCGCACGCCTGGTTCCCCTTCGTCCCCATGCCGCCTCAAGCACCTCCATCGGAGCAGGAGGAAGACTCGCCATTGGAGAATAGCGGAAGGTAATGCCCGGAAATTTGCAGTAAGACGCGCTCCCCTAATGCCTCCCCTCAACTTTCAATCTCAAGTTGTTTTTTTTTTAAATTTCGATTTGATTTCTGAGGCTACCGGTTTCCTGTTAATCTGCAGCATGAAGGATGAGATGATCCATCTATATCTGAACAACTCCACCATGGCGTTGGCGATCCTGAGAGAGGCATGCTTGCTGGGTGCTCCGAGGTGCCATGGCATTGGGATGCTAGTGGGAGCATTCGGTATTTGCAAGGAGCAAGTGCGCGAAGCCATCTTGGAAGGTACGTGTGGCTGCTTCGTTGTATCAATTGGATTTGGCGCGCAATGTTGTGCTATTGAATTATGATGTCTAAAGTTGTCATCTTTCTGAATGAAACTAATGTTCACCTGTTGTGGGGGCTTTAGAATGGGTGGCTATTACTAGTGGCTATATTTGCATTGAATTATTATGCCACCATCAATTAATGACGAGTAGATGATGCATGGTGCTTCTTTCCTTTGAACTCTGGTTGCCTTTTCACCAATTATATTGCTCGTTTTGGTTCAGTAAATGCACTGTTTATTTCAGAACAAAACGGTTAATGTTAACAGCATTTTTACTTATTTACTCTGAACCACCTGCTGATCTTGTTTTTTGCTCCGTGATTGTTGTACATATCATGGTTAGCTAGCTGTAACAGTTTATTTCTCAACTTGCCCTTTTGACATAAGTGCTCATGGAATTTACTTGTTCCCATGTGATCATCTGATCTCTTATATGTAGTTGCCTCCTCTTTGTATAAAGGAAAGAAACTTGAATAATTGTAAAAGGCAACAAAGGTTGAGACCAGTCAAATATTGAAGGGGTAAATAAATTGTTACTAAGGGCCTCACTTGATGAATAAAAGATAGCATGGTATGGTAATTGTCCTTTATAGTATTGTTTTGCATGGCTGATTTTAGCATGAGAAAAACCCATCCTCTTGGACAAAAATCCATTTATATCGTGGTTGGTACTTGGTAGCAGTGGACAGTCTTTAATCTTGTTCAGTTTGGACTTGATCAAAATTCCTGCTAAGTCTTGTCGAAATATATTCATATCTTGCTGCATAAAGTAAAGGGAGAACATTTTATATGATTTTCATAATGGGAAGCTTTGGTGCAAAATATGAATAGAGTTCATTGTGGTTGCCTGAAATCATTGTATTGATGTCAGAAATCATTGTTGATTCACACAGATAATAGACAGAAAAGGGAATGAATTGAGCAACCCATATACCAACGTTACATGTCCTTCAGTTATTGGATCAACCACAGGAAGGTTAAAAATATTGACCATATAAGAGGAATTTTGCTTAAGTTCTAAAAGAATATCTGAATCACATCGTAATTCATAAGGAATTTCGCTTAAGTTCTAATTAACTTTGGTTGATCATGTTGCCTGACTCACTACATAATATTTGGAGTGTTAATGCCAATTCATATAGTGCTCTACTATCACTATTTTAGTAGTGCATATACTGTTAATCAAAATAATTTCATTTTGCAACTTGTATATATATCTCTACATGAGGACTTTGCAAAGCAACATCTCAGGGGCCTACAATGAGTTGTTGCTCAGGTAACAAGTTTCAGTATCAAAATTCATAATATGTTCACTACAGGTTTCAGGTTCATATATCTGACCAAAGTACTGTCCTTGCCAGATTCAGTTCCAAAATGAGACACAGTTCTCACCAGGATTACAGGTGACGGAACACTTTGTCGTGGCTACATAGCACTTGCATGCAGAGGGGTAGCAGCTTATGAAGCCACCTCTTGTTTCATCAGAGGTAAGATTGAGCTAAAGATGATGAATTTAGAAACTTCATAAGCTGGCATGAACTGAACTTACTGACAAATGCTTAATTTAGAAACCTGACAAGATCTCACGAACTAACACAAGAAAATCTGGTCTTTATGCACGAACTTTGGGTGTTCAGCCAGCAGGACGTTGCGGAGCTACCAGGTCTACTTCAGCATGAGGAAGCAGTCAACCAACAATATCGGCAGCAAGCACATGCTGGGAATGAGACTGTGTTAATCTTATTAAATCAAAAAATTAGTTCATGTTATGCCATTTATTTAGTGTAATTATAGTTATATATGTCCTGTTGTATGCTTATGCTGCCATCGGCCAATCTATGCCGTTAGGATATGCATGTAAGAACTCAGAAGCGGTGTATCAATCGAAAATCGATTGATTTTTTTTCTCACAAAACAAGCATATGATAGATAAATGATCAATTGAAAATCGGTTGAATTTTTTTCTCACAAAACAAGCATATGATAGATAAATGGTCTCTGATCTTTTCAGCCTACCTAATTTTTTTCTCCAAAACAAACCGTTCTGTTTTTTATTCTATGCGCGGTCGACAAAAAAACCATGATTTCTTAAAATCGACCCAATCTGAACGATCATCCTGGGCTTAATAATTTTTTTGTCCAAAATAAACCGATCTGCTTTATTCTATACGCGATCGACCAAAAACCATGATTTTGAAAAATAGACCCGATCCGGACGGTCTCGGACTTAATATTTTTTTCCATAATAAACGGTTCTATTTTATTCTATGCGCGATCGACTGAAAAACCATTTTTTAAAATCGACCCGGTCCGAACGGCCTCGGACTTATTTTTCTTATCCAAAATAAACAGTTCTGCTATATTCTATGCGCAGTCGACCAAAGAACCATGATTTTTTTAAAATCGACCTGGTCCAAACGGTCTCAAACTTAATATTTTTTTTTGTCCAAAATAAGCTTTATTCTATGCTCGGAAGACCTGAAAACCAATTTTTTTTAAATCGACCAGGTCCGAATGGTCCTGGACTTAATATTTTTTTTCCAAAATAAACTATCCTACTTTATTCTTTACGCGATCAACCGAAAATTCTTGATTTTTTAAAATCGTCCCGATCTATACGGTCCTGGACTTAATATTTTTTCTAAAATAAACCGTTATGCTTTATTCTATACGTGGTTTTTTAAATCTATCCGGTCCGGACAGACCGAACGTGTACCTTTTACTACCTAGTAGATGTTCGACAGTTTTTTTTAACCATAACATTCGATATTTTTAGCCGCATGATCCAACATCAACAACGGTGACTGTTAAGTGGCTAACGGGTCCACATCAAAATACAGTACAACAAACGAAGGATGATGTCCGTAAAATCTGGGAGAAAAATAGGAAGTTACAGTGAGTTACAGCATGTAACTGCATGTAATTAGCATATACTATAACTAGTATAAATTTGCCTTCAATCCTCAAATTGGATATAGCTCAGTGACAAGGAAGTCATGCAGGTGACGCGGAAGTTTGAGGGATCGATTCCTATGTTCGCTTGTTTTTGCTGCTATTTCGTTTCTCATCCTAAGCACGAATCTTGATGTTAATCCAATGACCCAGAAATCGACAGTTTTTCTCTGAGAAATCTGTCACAAGTTATTTAGGGCCCCTTTGAATCGCAGGGTAGAAAAAATGGAGGAATAGGAAAAACACAGGATTCTGACAGGATTTGAAGTGTAAAACAGAGGATTGCAAAACACAGGAAAAACACAGAAATGATCGTTTGATTGGAGCGCAGGAAAAACGCAGGAATTAGATGAGAGAGATAGACTCAAAGGAAATTTTCCAAGAGGTTGGAGCTCTTGCTAAATTTCCTCCAAATTCACATGCAATATGCCATTCCATAGGAATTTCATAGGATTTAGAAAGCTTCAATCCTTTGAATCAAAGGGCCAAATAGGAAAATTTCCTATAGGATTTAAATCCTATGAAATTCCTACGTAGATCCTTTAATTCAAAGGGGCCCTTAGCAATTCCGATCCAGATAGGTATCACGTACCCAAAATCCGATCGGCCTGAGATGCGGTGGCTGCGTCGTGCCTGATGCGATCAAGCCAAAATTACCAAAATTACCCTTAATCAGCCCATGCCAAAATTACCCCTAATGCATATTAGGGAGATTACTAATCTACCCTTTAAAATAAACGGTCAAGATTAATTCTACTTGGAGTATATACTACAAGTAGAAAGCACCGGAGCGTGCTCCCCAACATACGTAGATTAGAGGACGAGGAGAATTCTATGCGCGTTGATTTCAAATTTATTGAATTTTCTGGACATGATCTCATTCATAGAACTATCAGTTTAATTTGAAGTCATTCATCCTAGGCAGTGTCAAGTCACAACTTAGATTTCTCGTCTGACAAGCTTGATTTAGGATCTTTTTCTGGAAAACTTTGTATACAGAAGTTGTAGATAATGTTGTAAGCTTTCCAGCGAATCCAATATTAGGTCAATCCGATACATTCAGGAGAAGTTTTGCCCTTTGAAACTTGATTATTCTGTGAATGGGCGGAGATGCTGATTCGTTTTTCAGTGGGTAATAGAGGTCTGCGGATGGCAGTTTTAGCCCTGTCACCCAACTAAACTTAGGTGGAAATTTCTGTGTAGTTAGTCATGGAGTATTTCTTTGTTCAATTCGGTTGGTTGTGAGGAAATGGGCAGATGGAGCGATGTAAAACATTTCTGAATTAGGTGTTTACAGCAGGGGATCATTCAGGTACTCGATTCAATGAATAATTTGCTTTCCTGTGATCTGTAATCTGTGACAAGAGATGGTTCATTATCCTTCTTGAGCATGTGTATTGCAATGGGCACATACCACTGGGAATTAGTTGGATTCCCCTTTCTGTGTATCGCAATTGGAGAAATTCTCTGTTTGTCTTGCGGGAGGGTGCACACTGCACAGCATGCGAGGGGAGGGAAGGACGGACGACTCTGCTCTTAGGACGTGCTTTGGGTGAGGGGAGGAAAGGGCATATGAATCAAATTTTTAAGTAGTACAGATAAAATTGAGGATTGTTATTCTCTATTTTGTTCACCAAGCGCAAAAAAATGGTTTGATTGAAACACATGGTTTTTTCTTATGTACTGGTTTGTTTGCTCCGTTTTCCAAACCTAACCCTTCTAATAAACTACTCCCTCCGTATCATCTGTTTTATATTATATATTGCTTTCACTTTTGTAAAAACAATCTTTTTATTGTTTGACCTAGTTTATAGAAAAATATAACAACATTTATAGCATTAAATTAGTTTTATTAAATAAACATTGAATTCATTTTGATAGTTTCTTTATTTTATGTTGAAAGTATTGCTAGATTTATCTATGAACTTAATCAAAGTTATGTTAAAGAAATTTGACTTAGAAAAAAGTCGAACTGACTTATAATATGAAACGAAGATAGTAGATATTTATGATTTTAAAATTTATTCTACTTTTCATAAAACACATGGCACAAACAAGTACATTTCATTATCTCAAAATGAAAAACCAACTACAACTACGTTTGATTAGACGACATACCTACTTTCTTCTATCAAAATGGAGCATGAGGCATTGCTGGTCTATGGATTACAAAACAGTATCATTTAGAGAAAAAAACAGAACAAAAGTTCAAAGGGAGGACGGGCGATCGACTACGCCGCGCGCGTACGGCGCACGTTCTTTGCCAAGATCATGTCTAGATGCAGACAAAATGGAGGTGTGGCTGCTGGCTATGGCACGGCATGGCGGCTGGGGCAAGCTAGGGTTCGGTAGACACCTCTGACATCGGTGATGTCTCACACATCTTACTGGAGGTGATGTGCCTGGTTTTTCCTCTTTTATAAATTTGTGCGTTCTGGTAGATCTAAGGGTTAAAACCTTGATGTCAACGTTCTTGAAGGCGTCGCATTGAAAGTTTTCTGGTATTGTATCCTTTGTGGCTGTCCCTATTGGATCGGCTTCGATGAATAGGCGATGACAAAATCTAGGCGATTGAATGCTTCTTGCTCAGTTTATATGATGTTATCTTCCACTTATGGTTCAACATCACTCATGATGGTGATATGTGTAAAATTCGATTGACAATGATTGCCTACAGATTTTAGAGATTCCGCTTTTAGTTATAGGAAGACAATGAGTAGATATAACTTGTAAGCTATTGGGAAGAAATAATGGTTATGTACATTTTCACCAACCATTGATAGAAATTCCCTGTCTTTGAGAAAATATTTGAAGTAGTTTTCTTGTTTTAGTAAAGCTGTGATTTTTGTAGTTCGCATATTCATGCATCCTGAAATCTCTGTAATGATTGGTTGTATATTTTTATAAAATCCAAGATAAAAATAAATTTTATTATCTAAATAAATTGCTGGCCTATATGTTGGGTTACAATAAAATCCGTGCTACGTGGTTGATATCATGCATGTTGTCAGTGGTGGTGATATTGTTCACGTAGAAGTGTGTGTAGTGAATACAACTTAACAACTGTAGTAGGAGGAAACCTTCCTGGACGCCATCACCGCCAGGGACTGAAACTTTGGAATGAAATTTCAAAAATACCCCCACCCCCACCGGCAAGCACATATATCTCACTTGAAATTTCCGGGGTTTTTTTTTTCAATTGTTTGTGAATTTGATCAATTTTATTTAAAATTAATCAAATTTTCAAATAATTTTGGTCAATAAAAATACCGAAAATTCGGTGATTTCAGGAATGTTGGACCCTTGGCTCACGCTCTGTCGCCCTGATGACGCCTAGCGAGGTAAACACCTCCCCCTCACACACAAGTGTAGAGACTCGTCGCTGGCAAGAAACACACCCACCGGAGAAAATAATCTAGCCCTGTCGCGATCGTAACAGGAGACACTAATCATCGCCACAGATCAGTTTTGCCGACAGTATTGGTTATGTTGGGGAATCTGGATCCTCTGATATCCAAATGTGGACCATTGTCAACACAAAACTTGTGCACTTCTCCCCAAATGCCTCCTATTCATATCACACCCCTCTTTCTCTCACTCATCTTCTTTGATTTTAGCCACTCCTTGTTAGTTGCTACTACTCCACTTCGCTATGTGTTTGTGCAGTGTGGAAAATGGAAGCTACAAGCTAGCTCAAATATGTGGTGGTATAGAAAAGAGTTGGATAAGTTGTTTTCAGTTTTTTTCCCTCCTAGTACAATTGTTTTTAGCATGTCGTGTAGTAGCCAAATGTTACAAAAGAGGTCAAAGAGAGAATGAAATGGAGCAGCACACTTAACAACTGCTGCATGCATGTGGAGAAAGCTCCATCTAATTGCAATATGTTTTTTTTATATTCATCTGCAAGATATACCTAGCGAACATGTGCATGCGTATGAGTTATATGCTTACTTCTGAATATTCATGCGTTGGAATAGCAGCCATAGTTGCATCATCATATTCAGCTGAAGATGTACAAGAGTCAGATCAGAAAACGTCACATACGAGATGAATCA